ATAAAATATAATTATACAAAAATATTATCTCATATATTTTTCACAAAAAAAATATACAGAAGCCTCTAAATTATTAAACTGCATGAATAGCATGTAAGCACATGGATTGTTGACGTGGCCAAAAAAATTTTGAAATCCCGCCCAAGCGCAGACTCCATTTTGTCCGTTTATTTTCTCCCTTTGCCTATTTCAGGATCCACACCACACCAAATCGAATTGCCTATTTGTCCATTTATCTTTCTTGCTCGCTCGCTCATGTCTCCTTGTCTTCCAAAAACCTTAACTCTCAGCAGGTAACTCGCTGCAGCGACCCAGTCATGTTTGCACTGTTTTGACCGATCTTTAAACGATTCTCATTGATTTTGACTGTTTTTCGTGCAGGATTAAGGTGCTAGATCGAAGGCTAATTCGAAGAAAACTGATAGTAAGTGAATTTTATTCCTTATTTTGCTTTGTTGTAATTTCTGAGTTAATATTTTTTTTTGATATCATAGTGATTGCGATTGTGTTCTAAGACCGTCACAGATTTAAGTGTTAGCTTCTTCTGTTAATCGATGTGTTTTGTTTTTTTTTTTGGAAAATTTTTTCGTTAAGTTGAAGAGTGCAACGGTTGGAAAAGAAATTGCAAAGGATCCAGAGAAGCCGAAGAGGTAACATTGCAGGAGACTCATGATCTTTTGATTATTTTTTATTTTTTTTATTTTACTTAAATTTGTTTTGATTCAATTACTTTCGAATTTTTCCAATTTTACTTAAATTTGTTTTGAAGTGGGGTTTGATTTGGTTGATTTGTTTTGATTCATTATATTGCAGGAGACTAGTGCAATTTGTTTTTGGGGACTCTGTTTTACTTGATGAAAACAAAGCAAAACAGAGACAACTTTCAGGAAACAGGACAAAGACCATCCTGATAAACCAATCAATGGTTAAGTTAATTTTGATTAAGAGCATTAGTGAGTGATTAGCTTATGAGTAATTTGTAAGTTATAAAAGTTAAACTTGATTTAAGTTCCACTTTGTGAATTAGTCAAACTTGAACACAATAGTAAAAATAAATAAATAAATAAATAAATCTGAAAAATAATACAATTTTCTCTTTATTATAAAAAAATTGACAAATGATATTTGTCAATATAGAAAAAAAAATAATTGCAGAGAAAATTATAAATAAAATAGAATTGTCTCTTTTTATTATAAAAAAAAATTGACAAATGATATTTGTCAATATAGAAAAGAAAATAATTGCAGAGAAAATTATAAATAAAATAGAATTGAATT